TGACCTCACAGGCGGAGGTGGTAATTAAAAAGAGTAGCTAGCTGGATATTGGTGGCGCATGCCTTTAATCCCAGCACTCGGGAGGCAGAGACAGGTGGATCTCTGTGAGTTTGAGGCCAGCCTGGTCTACAGAGCAAGTTCCAGGACAGGCTCCAAAACTACACAGAGAAACCCTGTTTTGGAGGGGGAAAAAAGTAGCGGATAAGACGTGTCTCTTAAGTATCCAGACTGAGGTGAAGACTGAAGGTAGTGAGTGCAGACGCCCAATCTAAAATAACCATTTTAAGGGTCTGGCACCCCAACAAAGCAGGCAGACAATGTTGAAGCAAGATAACTACTCAGAGGGAGTCTGGACCTCCAAGGACTGCGATACATTTTTACATGCTTTCCACAAGTTACTGAGTCAGCACACAAAACATTGACATTTCTAACATCTATGTCATTATACATGGTCCTTACTCACACTCCCCTTCCCACACTCTCCTCCTGGTCCCTCTCTCCCCTTCTCTCTTCTCCTTTCACCTCACATCAATCGCTCTTTCCTCACCCCCACCTTCCTTACACCACGTCCCCACCCCTCAGTTCCTTTCCTACCTTACATAGCCACACACAGATACACACATAGCTACACACACAGACACACACAGCCACACACACAGATACACACAGAGACAGCCACACACACAGATACACACACAGACACACACAGCCACACACACAGATACACACACAGCCACACAAACACATCTATACACACACAAATTTAAAGCTAAAGTCTACATGTAAGAGAAAAATTTGGCACCTGTCTTTCTGAGTCTGTCTTATTTTGCTCAACATAACAATAACAACAGCTATACCCCTTTTCCTACCGGTGCGAGGATTCCATTCCTCTCTAGGGCTGAATAATGTGGCACAAATACACAATGAAATTTATGTGCATACCAAGCTTTCTGATGGCCATTAAATTACACACGAAGTTGAGCTCAAGTTCACTTTGACACAGGGCTTTACTGACCCCTAGTGGCAAATATGATTATTAATATACTCTAAAGTTTATTTTCTAAACCATGCATCACTACACTGACAAATACTTGTTTTGAACTCGACTTTCAGCAATGAGTTAAAATTGCCAGACTCTGGTTAGATCTGGGCAGTACTGTTTAGAAAGGACATATTGGCTTTGGTTCCATCAATGGCAGATGAAGCCAGCTCAGGCCTTCGCAGAGTGCCTTCACATTAGATACGGTAAGGAAAAAGGCCAAGGCTAGTTAGCTATAAATACATACAAACAAAAGAGTAAAGAATAATATGTCACACTTTGTTTAGTGGGCAGAACATATGTAATCAAAATTAGATAAAACTGGCTGATGTGTTTGATGTTATTGCCAACATAAGAAAATGAACCTTTGCTGGGGTAGAAGACATAGGTCCCATTAACATTTTGATCTAGTATAAAAAGACCCCTTTCCCAAATGACCCCTCATTGTGACTTTAAAAGAAATCACATGCTTCAAATGCTCTTCTTCTACATAATTTAAAAATTTAATAACCGCCAATAAATGAGTTCTTTTCCCAGTTTTACAAAGGAAAGCCCTCCTCGGAGGTGAGGGTTGGTTCCTTGCAGGTGCAGGTTCCAGCCCAGAAGGTCTGGCTTGGGCCAGTTTGCACCCTGCAAGGTTTTGGAGGGACTTGCAGGCCACATTAGCCCCCCTCACATGGTTCATCTAGCTTTGGTCTGTTTGGTAATATGGAAATCAATGCCAAGATTGCAATCTCTGCATGCTGGTCACACGTCCATCACTTCCCTGTCATCTCAGTGCTAGCTGAGACAGCAGGAAGGACAGATTCAGGGAAGAGCATGACCAGATGGTGGTGAACAGATGGAGATGAAGGTGTCTGCACATCCAGCCATCTGTGCAGCTGCTTGTGGTTGTGGTGAGTCTTCAGACACACATTTTCACAACGACCTGTAAATGCCTGAAGGAACGCTGCATAAACTTGATGAAAACGCAAAATTTTTCACTTAAAACTCTTGTTACCAGGGGTTGGAGAGATGGCTCAGAGGTTAAGAGCACTAACTGCTCTTCCAGAGGTCCTGAGTTCAACTCCCAGCACCTACATGGTGGCTTACAACCACTGCAATGAGAGTTGGTGCCCTCTTCTGGCCTGCAGGGACATATGCAGGTAGAACACTGTATATACATAATAAGTAAATAAAAATGGAAAAAATTCTTGCTTCCAGATAATAATAATGGTTTCTTTTTCTCTCCGGTACAATACCTGACTTCTCACTTACCTTTGTCTCTTTAGGGTGGAGCAGTCTGGGACAAGGCTAAACCCATCTCAGTGTGAGGTCTCTGGATTTACACGCATTTCAACAAGTCATGGAATTATACAACATACATTGTATGTCTAGCACATATCTGAAAAATGGTCAAAGCACATGGCTGAGGAAGTCTAAGCCCTAACAGGGACTGATTACTGTTTAGTTAAATTGGCACAGCTTAATCTGTTTTCTAAAGCACTTTGTTATCTGCAGACAAGATAAAGGGTAGTCTTAGCTTTATCAGAGAAGTCTCTCTTGGCAGTGGGTAAAGAAACCCATGGCATTTCATTTGCATTTTAATAGTAAAGCTTGCCTGAGGATCAGAAAAGTAAAACAGCCACACTGGCCAGTCTTAGAGACCAGGCAGCAATGAGACACACCTTTAATCCCAGCAGCCACACTAGTTTATCATAGAAACCAGGCCATAGTGGTGCATGCTATTAATCCAAGAACGAGAGGATTATAAAACAGGAGGAGACAGCTCTCAGTCTCAGGCTCACGCTGAGATTCCTGGAAAGAGGATCTCCATTGACCGCGACCTTACCTGAGGTCGAGGTAAGAGCAGTAGCTGGCTGTTTTGCCTCTCTGACCCTCAGGTAGAACCCCAATTTCTGTCTCTGAGTTTTTATTAACCATGCTTCAATGGTTACTCAAGTGCTGAGAATAGCTGATGGTCGGGAGGTCAGCCCTACACAGGTATTTTATGCCTCCCCTGAAGAGCCACTATAGAAGAGAGGGCAGAAAGACTGTGAGAGCCAGAAGACAGACAGGGGCTATGAAAAGCATCTTCTGACTACAGCACAGCTACTGTAATCCTGAACTTACAGCTGCACACTAGCCCTGTCAACAGTCATAAAAAGAAGAGGGGGTCATGGGTCCCCTAACTATTGGCTACTGACAGACGCTGGGAGAAGGGGAGTCATTGTACCCATTGTTCAGCTACACCCATTGGTGAGCCCAGCAGGCTCCAATGGAGTTCCAAACCCATGAGCACACAGACAAGCCTAGTTAAACTCAGTGTGTCATAAAACAAAACAGAGCTTTTTGTAGAGATGAGGACAGGGTTGGCAGGGGTGGGAGGGAGATAAAAGATAGTGGGAGGTATAAGTAATTCTAATGAAATTGGCAACAAATTGTTGCAAAATGTTGAATGAACTAGATTTTATAAAGGATAGTAACAATTGCAGAAAGTAATCAGCTTTAAATTCAGTTTAAGAAAGCTGAAGATATGTTAACACTAATTTTAAATTTCATTTAAAAATAATTTACAATTAAATTTATTAAATTTAATTAAAATAATTTAATAATTAGCCACAAACTTAATCAAAGTTTTTTTGGTCTTTTTGCCAAAATCAGCATGCTACAAATTTTAGGATGACAACCAAGACTGTTTCATGTGGCTGAAGTAGCCAGCACTGGGTAACAAGTGCCTCACAAGGGCAGAGGAGGAAGTGGCTCAGGCTCTGGTGGCAGGCAGCCCTGTAGCTCCCTACACTTGTCCCCTGTGGCAATGGCGAATCACTCCACAGTCCTAACTCTGGGTCCTCACTTTTATCACGTGTTAGACTGTCACCTCTATGGTCTGTACCTCCTGCTTGGGGCCTAACACACAGCAGATGCTCGATCATGTCCACAGCTGACTAAACTAAAGGAAGATGGAAATATAAACATGATCACACGATTCTGGAAGTTTCCATGAGGCTTAGACGGTATTGTGATAATACACAGGCAACTGGGGACACTCATTTCATATTTGTAATCACATATGCTTCCTTGCACTGGTCTACAGAAATTACAGTGCAAATGTAAATGAGTCACACCGTTTCAAAGGACTGCAGATTCTATCTACTCCAGCATTTTAAGGTTTGACCAATGCCTGACTGCCTGATGACTCATAGGGCTTCAGCCATTGCCAGTAGTAGTTAAGACTATGATGAAGTAATTGTGCTTTTCACTACTGCAGGGAGTGGTGCTCATGAGCTAAGAGCTGAGTGTGACTTCCCTATGTGCACTACAGCCACATTTTAAAGAGACAGGCAATTTATATAAACTAGTATGAAAAGAAGACATAGTATTTAGAAAAGACTAAAATGCGAACAACACATTTATTGCTACAGAGCAAAAGCCTGGACTCTCTAATGTTGAAACATGACCTAAACAATCCACACAATGAAGGCCTGGGCACTTCCAGCCAGCCGGCAGCAGAGACTGTGTGTGGAGGGAGAGACGGCCTTCGATTTTACTGGTGCTGCCTGGACTTTTTCTACAGACGAAATGCGAGGGGAAAGCAAGAATGAAAGCAGTCGAGAGCAGTCAGTAAGCCTTGTTAAATACTGAAGCTGGAGGGGGTGGGGGTTCATTTTACATAAACAAGGACTGGATTTTTGCTCCTCACAGGGAGGATGCACCTCAGCCTTGAGGAACACACAGGGATTCTTCACAAAGTGCGTGGGGGTAGTTTCCTGCAAAGAAGACAAGCTTAATGACTGACAGCAGCATTAACGAACATGAGATATTAGACTTACCAAGAAGGAATTAATTCACAGAATGAGGAGGATTAAGAAAAGATACACCTACTAGTTATACAGGACAGTAATGGAAACCAGTGATTAGAAGAGTCTTATGAGTATGACAGTATGGTCTTTGGATATTCTGTTAAATAAATGAAAAAGGGTCTCTTTTATTAGTTTTATTTTTATCGTAATTGATTTGTTCAGCCAGTTAGACAAGATGACGTGGTGGACACATGTCACATAGTCTCTAAAGTCTGGGATCACACGCACCTGTACCTGACCATATCACTACTGACCAGCCGCTGACTGGCTTCCTGACTCCCACGATTCTTCTGGTTGTGACAGATCCTCCCCTAAAGACTCCTTTACTTCTGTTTGGTCATTCTGCCAAAAGAGCGCCCCTTCTTCCACAGGCTTCCTTTCTTGGGATGGCATTTTCTGTAAGGAGTCTCTTTCTAAAGGTGGCTTCTGGGTGGGGGATAAGGTTGACTCCTGTAATTCTAAACTCACCGAGGGATCTGTCATTGTGTCAGGACCACTATACACATCATCCGACCTCATAGAGGGCTGCGTGTCTTCCTTTTTCTCGTAATTATTTAGCCTTCTTTCCACCACTTCACGGATCAACACTGAAAGGTTCAGAGGTCATTATGAGTTTCCATACTTTCCTTTTAGATAAGTAGAAGCTATCTTTTTTTGTTTGGTTTTATTTTTGTTTGCTGTTTTGTTTTTGTTTTTTTCAAGACAGGATTTCTCTGTGTAGCCTTGGTTGTCCTGGAACTCACTTTGTAGATCAGGCTGGCCTCGAACTCACAGAGATCCACCTGCCTCTGCCTCCTGACTACGGAATTAAATGTGTGTGCTACCACCGCCCAAAAATGAGTAGAAAGTACCACTCAGGCCTTTCCCCCTTCCCATAGCCTTTATAAATTTAGCATATACAACTGTCAATTAATGCACTGAACAAGTTATGTCCTTTCGTCTTTACCAAGTACAAAGCAACAACAAAATATTCCATGATGAAATTACAGAGGGTGGAAACTGCACCCTTGTTTCAGTACAACTGATTAACCAAGTTTAAGAAGCACCACCAACACTAATGTTCCTTCCTCACTTATTCTTCCCCACTGAGAAGTTTAGGAACAACTCTTATATAAAATAACTTACTGTCAAGCACGGTTCTTCCCACCATGCTGTGCTCCATGGTTTTTTCAACTTGATTCATTAGCCATGGAAGGAATCCTATTTCAATGTCTGCAATAAAGAATTTCATTAAACATTTCTGCAAATCATTAGTATGTCTTCCCCAGTGTAATGATCAGCAGCACCATCTTCTCAACATAAAACATTAAATTGACTCACACAGCATCACGTTTGCCGTATTCTCTACATATGCTCTGCTCAACTTCCCTTCTACTGCAGTAGAAATGGTATTTTACAAATCATGAGGTTTTCCAGAGTCAAAATACAGTTGGGCCCACAAGCACAATCTGAGATAGGTGAAGGAGGGAGGGCAGAGAGAAGATGCTGATCTGGGAAACCTTTGCTGAAGTGGGACAAAGCCTGAGCACGAGCATTGCTGGGAAAGAGACTTCGTCCCTTGAGATTGGAGCCAATGGAGCCTGATCAGCTGAAAGGGGCTCTGGGAAGGGGCTGTCTAGGAAACACTTCTGCTGCGGTGGAGACTAAGCAATTCTATTCGTAGGAACTTTGCTCCAGCCTCAGTGGGAAGTTCTCTGTGTTAAGCATTTTAACAAGACTGCCCATTAAATCACACTCAAAGTTTCAAGTTGGTTTTTAGGCATCTATTTAATAGGATGATAATAGAGATGATAGAATACAGTATTTGTTATTATATATGACATATCTCAGGCAAGATTTTTATTTTCAAGCTTTAAACTATGTAACAGACAAAAACAAAACAAAACAAAAACAAGCACTACTGTTTTCTGTGACCAATAGGAAGAAGTCTGCTCTACAGCTTGGATCTTAACTATTTTCCCAAAGCTCACAGTTCTCACTGATGGTGTGCTGGGGGGGGGGGGGGGGGGGGGGGGCCTACCTGAGGAAGTGTGTGCTCTTGAAGGGCATGCTGGGACCACACCCCTTTTGTTTACTGTTTTTGTTGTTGTTGGTTTTTCTTGGTTGTTATTTGTTGTTTGGGTTTTTTTGTTTTGTTTTTTTGAGACAGGGTTTCTCTGTTGCTTTGGAGTCTGTCCTGGAGCTAGATCTTGTAGACCAGGCTGGCTTCGAACTCACAGAGATCTACCTGCCTATGCCTCCCAGGTGCTAGGATTAAAGGCGTGCGCCGCCGCTGCCACCACCACCAGGCCAGTTTTGTTTACTGGAACAGCTTTGATTTCCCACAGAGGCCCAGAAACAATGGAGTCAAACAACTCTGTATGGATCTGTACTGTACTGAAATTCCTCAGGCCGTGCATAGTGGCACACACCTGTGCTTCCAGCACTCAGGAGGAAAAGGAGGATCATGAGTTTGAGGCTGGCCTGTTAGGGCAGTGATCATACATATAAAATAAATTTGAAGCAGTAAGACTATTCCTGGTGTAACAGTCAATATAACAAAAATCTCCACAGACCTCTTTCAATTGGATCATAAAAGTAGCCACTGTTCCTGAGACTGTCAAAGACAGACGGGAGGAGGTCAGCCAGGTACCGCTGCGCAAACGCACGAGCTGAGATCTTCTGTGACGTCTCGTTGTGCTTATGTATGATTTCCCACTGCTGTCTCTTACGGCGTTCCTGTGAAGAGAAAGATGTCATTGCATGTGGCCATCTGACCATTTCATCCTCCCAAGCACTGGAGAAATGTGGCCAGGTATGTGGAAGAGTCTACAGCTGTCAAAAGTGCTCAGCAAGATGTCTGCAAGGACCCACTGTGCTGTAGAATGTTTGAGCATCCGGTGGGCATTGAGCTTATGGAGACATAAAGGAACCTAAGGAAAAATGCATCTCCTGACCCATGTTCAAGTAAATTAACTTCTACACTTAACTGTATGCATGCTATTAAAAAGATAATGGCAGCTGGACGTAGTGGTACATGCCTTTAATCCCTGTACCTGGGAGACTGAGGCAGGACAGAATGGTGAGTTAAATGCTCTCCTGGGTTATACAGGAAGACCTTGTCTAAAACAACTATGATAGATAATGACATGCTCTTTTATTAGTAACATCATAAAGTAGTACAAATGAGAAATTTTATCTTTATGAGTCTTCCATCAAAGAACACCAGCCAATTGTTTGACTTATGTTTAGTACCAGGAGTGAGGCTATGTCTCCTGCTAAGGGTGCAGAGACTTCCTCAGGAGAGATAATCGCCTTTTACCCAGTAAATGCCTAGTACCTCTTTGAATTAATAAAGCTGAAATGACTTGGAAGGTCATGAAGCTTGCTGTGCTGTGTGTGGCTGTCTCCTTTAGGTCATATCACATCTACAAAGCTAAAGAATGCTTTTCAATGTGCCTATATAAAAGTGGGAGCATTAACATATTTTTAAATACTCTATTTTCAAGGTTTAAAAACATATACAAATCTAGATGACTTATGTTCTAGAGTTTTCCCATATGTATATATACACATATACATATATACATATTGATAATTTTGTTATTTCAATGTAGTTTCTGCAGAAAGTGTCTATTTTATATATGCAAGCAAAGATATGCACAGGAACATGCCTTACTATGAGTCCTATGTTCTTCATATAAATAATTAGTAATTTTGGAAGAAGATACAAAATCCAGTTGATTAAGTATTGAGTATAATTTCCCAGCAAACGTACTTTTCTTGACAGTAATTTGGGCTCTTTGGGAAATCATTCTCATTGGTTTAAGTACTCTGGCACTATGCCTTGTTTCAGTACATAAGAAAGGGTAACAGCCACTGTTAATACCAGAAAGACCTTTAAATATGATTAAATATAGATTTTTCTGTTAAATATTAAAATGAGTTATACAACTTTTCTTACTGAAGATTCATAAAAGATACTTTGGAAACCAGAGCCTGGCCACCGGGAGACAGACTTAGCGCTCTCTGCAGATCTCTGCTGATTACCCCCACAAACCTCTTTCCTTCCTTTCATCTCTCTGCTGCTGGATGATGGCAAATCAAGGTATTCCTTTCTAGCGCTCCTCTGAAGCTCTTGATATTTAAGAGCGCCATCCAGCTTGAACACATGTAATATAGGACCTGCACTTCATTGGAAGCTGACTAAGGTAGATTAATAGAAGGTGGAATTTACAACGTAAGTCAACAATGAGAGATTTATGATCTACAAGAGAGATCTGAGCAACAAATATTGTAGATCTTCTTCACATGTATTTAAAAAGACCACCAGCTTTATGTAAGCTTGAATGTAATGAATTAAGTGGCCAAAAGACTAACAATCAGCTTCGGGTACCATATATAAAAGATGGAAGGCCTTGGGTCCATTCCCAAAGAAATGAGAGAGGAAGTAAGAGAGCCAGGCAGGCAGGCAGGCAGGCAGGCAGGCAGGCAGGCAGGCAGGCAGGCAGGCAGGCAGGCAGGCAGCTCTACCTTCTCTTCTCGGTGCCGTCTCTCTTGCTCTTCCAATCGCTGAACTTCAGCCAGCTCCACGTTGCGTATTTCTTCGTATGCATACTGATTGGCTCGCAGATTGGCCAGCTCCTCCTCTTCCATGACTTCCAGGAGGGCCTGTTCAATCGTCTTCCCCACGAGAACTTGTAACAGCGGTTTGACTTCAAGGTCAAAGTCAAAGAGCTTAAACACAGAAGAAAGCAAACACAAATGTGTGAGAGAACGCAGGGAAAATGCCAGCAGGAGATGGCTGTGCGGTCTGTGTGCCAGGCTCGCACAGCCTCTGGGTCTGCACTTTCAAAGCAGCCCTACAAGGCACACAGCAGCGTCTTCTGATTATAGGCAAAACTCTACTAAGTTAAAATAATAAAAAATCTACATTTATCAGTATGAACTCCAACTCTCAATGATTTTAGGACAGAACTCTGAAACTAAAGGGAAACGTCCCCGTCTTTCATGGTCTGTTTTTTTCTGCTAAACATTTACTGACTCAGGACCAAGAATAGCACACATCTGAAGTGATTCATGTCGAACATCAGAGCTTTCTATGCAGTGACTGAAAGCTAACTTTGTCTTCTACCTTTAATGACAACAAAAGAAACTCCTTGCACTTCTCTACTCCATTATTCATGTAGTCATTACTTTTTATTCCATTAACTGACCTATTCATGCATTCTACATGGAGATGAAAATGCCATTCAGAATTTTTAAACATCTAATCCCTTCATAAAAGTTATGCATTCCACAAGTGACTTATGTCCTAACTGTATGTCCTCTTTGAAGAAAGAGGGAAGCCAGGAGGATGTACTGTACCTCTCCTTCTAGTATCTGGGTGGCCACATCTTTGCCAGTTTTGGCAGGAATGAAGAGCGGTGTTGGTGGTCTGTCCAGAAATGCATCCGTCTGGCATTCCATGTCGACTTCAACTATGCGGTCAGCAATCTCTTCAAGGTATAATTCTAGGGAGAACATTATGTACTGTGGGTTCACAATTAACTATGCTTTATTTAAGACATTCCCATGTTTGTGAAATGTCAACAAATAGAAGTTATCAGGCACGGGGGCACATAACTGCTACCCCAGCACTTAGGAGGCTGAAGCAGGAGGAGCTACATTTTAGGCCAACCCAGGATCCACAGTAAGAGACTGCATCTCTAGTAAATACAAGATTTGCTATAATCTTGTGTCACGTGCCTGGGGTTTGAAGAATCATGCATCAAATCAAACTGCTCTTTGGTATTCTCTCTATGCACAGTTTAGAAATAGACTCTTTAATAAATAAATGCCATGTTTATAACTTGATGAGGCAGGGCAATGTGGTACCAAAGGAAGACTTGAACACTGAACACAGGATCCAACCAAGATAGAGCGCTCTGTCCTAAGTTTCTCATGTGTAAAAAGATCAAAGTTACTTGCCACATAGACTCTTTTTTAACATAAGAAAATCATAGGTAAAGAGCCAGAGGCAACAGTAAATAAGAAGTAGGGGCTGGATCACTTATATTCAGATCACATGAATATTATGTGTCCAGTCTTCTGTGGCATCTACAAAGTGAATGCTTGAGACAGCACAATCGAGGTACAAAAAAAATTAGTAAAACCTTTCATGTTTTGAGTTTACAGTTTTGTGTTGGTCACATTTATAGCTTTTGACACATCAAGGACCAAGACTAAGCCTTAGTTGTTAGAATCACAAAGATGGCTAATCATTGGCACTCACTCATTCTAGGCTTGGCTCAAGGGCAGGGGGAAGTTTATTCTTTTTGCTTTTACTCCAGAAAGAACCTTGGTGAATCTGCTCATGGTCTTCACTAGGTAGACGAATCTCAAGTCACATTAGTCTATGGAAAACACCAAGTACTGTCAGCTTACCAAGGTCTGTCAACAGGAAATGCTTTGTCCAGCAGAGTGCACAAAGCAGTAAACCCTGGAGCCTGCTTTAGGGCACCTAATGTGCAAAGCCATGGAGAGCAAGGGAGAGAGAGGCGGTGTGACAGGCAGATGACTACACCCGAGTGGGGTCACCTTTCAGACAGACAAGTCAAATGTCCACACAGAGCTGCAAAGCTCTCATCAGTCTTGATGAAAAGTGACTTAAGTTGGGTTGTGAGTAATAATGCTACTCTGAAATTGTGCTGGCTAATTTTGTCAACTTGACACAGGCACCTGAGAGGAGGGGAACCTCAATTAACAAAATGCCTCCATAAGACCCGCTGTAGGCGAGCCTGTAGGGCATTTTCTTAATTAGTGATTGATAGGGGAGGGTCCAGCCCATTGTGGGTGAGACCATCTGTGGGCTGGTGGAAAGCAGGTTGAACAAGCCACTGGAAGCAAGCCAGTAAGCAGCACCCCTCCGTGGCCTCTGCATCAGCTCCTGTCTACAGGTTCCAACCCTGTTTGAGTTCCTGTCCTGACTTCTTTCAGTGGTGAACTGACACGTGGAAGTATAAATCAAATAAACCCTTTTCTCCCAACTTGCTTTTGTCATGGTGTTTCATCACAACAGGGGTAACCTTAACTAAGACAGCCATATAATATGAGGGAAGGGCTGAGAGAATTAGTAGTTAGGAAACTCTTATCAAGTCCAAATCCCTACTTCTAGCTCTCTCAACATTATAACATGTGTTCTATGTAGCTGCTTCCTGAACAGACTTCCCTACCATATTTCTGGGGAGAGACAGATACACACAGGAGATCCATAAATAATAGAAAGGAAAGAAAAGGTAAGTTACAGTGGACTGACTGGAACAGCTTGTGAGCCATGATGCCTGCGGCATGGTCAGGTACCTGTCTGCACATCCACGTGCTTTCTGCCCTCCACGGGCTCAGGTGTTCGCGGTCTGAGCTGCTCTTGGGCTCGCTTTCTGGCAAGAGCCCTCCTCCTGGCCTGCTGTTGTCGCTGAAGCTCTAGAGGATCAGGCTGTCCGGGCTGAGAGGGACAGATAAGGCTTAGAAACACCAGACATCAGTTCTCAGAGCAGGCAGCCGCTGCCACTGACAAAGCACTCCTCGGCTAGCACCAAAGCATGTGTCAGCTGATGCCTCCTGGTGACTGGGGGTGTGGTCAGGTGATGCCAAGCTAACAGCAAATCCACACTGGGACACATGGGTGTAGAGTTCTAGCTAATCACCTGGTTTTCCTCAAGCAACCTCTGGTGCCTAGTAAAACGGATGCATTTATTCTGTTACAGTAAACTTTGGTAGATAAGAAATCAAAAACTAGTAGGACTTTTTAAAATCTGAATTCAATTGAATAGATTTCCCTTAAAATTTTTATCAGTTCAAAGAGAAAACATCCTGGGTCCAAAGAAAGCTTCTTCAAGTCAACAAAAAAGCTGACTAGAGGCTGAAAATACTGTCCGTTTTAAGTCAAGACAATTATGAAAAGAAAACCTGACTGAACATCTCCTGACCCCCATGTTTTTATTTTTAGTCAACATAAAGCAATTGTATTTATTTACAGGTCACAGTGTGACATTTCAACACACATATACAATGTTCAGTGATCAGATGATCACAACAAGCATGTGTGTAATTTTTTTGAGTTGGGAATACAGAAAATCCTATTAGTTATATAAAAATGTTTTTAAATGTTATACATAAGGAATTCTACAGCAGATAACTTCTTGAGTGTGACTTGCTTTTACTAAGCACTTCCCTGAGAGTCATCTAGGCTGTACCATGTCCCAATAACCTAACTACTTACCCCTTTTTGTCTAAAGATATTTTTATTTTTAATTATGCGCATATGTGGGTTCATAGACTAGGAGTTTATAAGAGGGCCCTGGATCCCCTGGAGCTGGAGTTACAAGTAGTTATGAGTCTCCCAACATCGGCACTAGGAACCAAAGTCAGGTCCCCTTAACTCCTGGGCCTCTCCAGTATTCCACCCCCAACTCTGCCTTCACTGAGTAGTACAAATTGGCTGAATGAACACACCAGTTTGATTTTAAACATTTACCTAATGGGATAGAAAACCATTTAGAATACACTTTCGGCTTCTTTACACTACACATGAAGTAGCTCTGAATGTTCCTACACAGAATTATGTGCAAAGGTAACTTTCCATGTCTATTTGATACACACAGACGCAACTGTAGGTTTGAATATTTCTTTCCATTTGCTATGTACCCTTGAAGCCCTTATTGCCAATTTCTAAATGTTAGTGTTGGAATAAGTGTATATTAAGTATATCACAATAGCTTAAAATTTCATTTTCCCATGGCTAATGCTGAGCATCTTTTGATGGGCTTGTCATCAGTATCTTCCTCTGCTCTCAACTTTTGACAGGTTCTATTTGGTTTGCATAGCTTTTAGCTTTCAAGCTCTGAGAATTACATATTTTCAGTATAAGACACTGGTCAGATGTGCAGCTTGTCTGTTGAAATAGGATGTTGTCTGTTTCGTAGCTTGCCCTTATACATCCGTATGAGGCTTTTCATCAGTCCAGCTTCGTTTCTGTGCGTGCTACCCTCCCAGGTCATGCAATCCCTGCACTCTTCCCAAGGTTATTGAGGTTTTCTCCTACAAGTTTTATATTTCACATTTAAATCCATGATCCATTTGATTTCTTCCCCTCAGTTTCTTTGAGACAAGATCTCCCTATGTAGCTCAGGTTAGCCTCAGCCTCCCTAAGTGCTCTGCCCTTTGTGTATAGAATTGCTTTGGTATTTTAGGGTCTGTGGTGATTCCACAGAAATTTCAGTACTGTTAAGAACTGAAATTCTTCTTCAAGGTTTGATACAATTTGGCAGTGACTCCATTTAGTCCTTACTTTTTTTTTTGTTTGTTTTGTTTTTCTGTGTAGCTTTGTCCTGTCTTGGAACTTGCTCTATAGCTCAGGCTAGTCTCAAACTCACAGAGATCTCCCTGCCTCTGCCTACTGAATGATGGGATTAAAGGTGTATGCCACTACTGCCTGGCTTAGTCCTTTCTTTGCAACCTAGAAAGTGGTCTCTTTTAGAGACGGTTCTAGGAGCTGCTGAGGGGGTGTGTGCTCCTTTGTTAGATGGAATATTCTGTCAACATTAGGCCCATTTGATCCATGGCACAGTTAACCCTGAAGTCTGTTGACTTCTAGTTTGGAGAGAGTGGGGCACCGAGGCCCCCTTCTATTACTGCAGCAGGTCTTCTCCGTGTTAGTATTGCTTTTGTTTGGAGCACACACATTTGCATTTACGACTGTTATGTCTTGGTGAACTGTCCCCTTTACTAATGCACAGTGGTCTTCATCTCTTCTAGCTCATTCTGAAGTAGTCTACTTTATCACCTGCCAGAAAAACTACCTATGCCAACTGATTTTTGGCTTCTATCTAAATTGACTCCCATCCTTTGGTTCATGGTCTATGACCCGTGAGCTGTCTCTTGGAAGTAACAGATAGCTGGAACTTGTTTTTTTTTTTTTTTTTTTTTCCAATCTAATCAGCCAGTACTCTTTACTGGTGAGTTGAATCCATTTACATATGAGGTTATTGAGGGATGTTTGCTAGTATTTGTGACTTTATTGGCTGCTGTGTTGGTTTTAGGTTTTTATAAATTACTATAGGTTTTCTCGTTTACTGTGCTGGACTTGATGGACTCCTTCCTAGCTCTCTGTGACTCTGTGAGAGTCACCATGTGCTCTGGGAACTGAGACATTCTTCCTCCACTGAGGACAGTGCTCTAGGTATCTTCTGACGTGCTGGAGTGTCCTCACATGGCTCATTTCCTCATCACTCTAGTGATGGGTTTCCTGGGGACAGTGGCCTTGGCTGTAGTTATTTTCTTCCAGGGTTTAAACTCTACCCTCCATGCTTCCTGGCCGTTAGGGCTGTGATGTTTTTCTGATATGTCTGCTTTTGTAGGTGAGTTGTTTCCCTTTCATAGTTTTTAATACTATTTTTCTGCTTTGTATTTTTGATATCTTGAGTAAAACTGTCCAATCAAATGGTGTATCTGTGCATCTCTCTCAGGCAGCTCACAAGCACCTTTACCCTAGCACCTGATGCCGCTGACCTTCTAGGGCACCTGCACCCATGTACACACTCGCACACATACGTATAACTAAAAATAGAAGTCTTTATATAGAATTAATGTTTGCATACTGTATCTTCTTCCATAATTTTACTTTGGACCTAATTGCAATTAAAAAGATTTTCCTTACACATAGAATGTAGTTGGATTATGTTTATAATCTCTGCTAACTTCTAACTACTTCATTCAGACCATTTATGTTTAACAAAATCATTGATAAGATCATATCACATGATAGGGTGTAGGCTGTCATTTTTGTTTTCTATTTGTTTATTGTTTTGAAATTCTCTGCATTTTTTCTTGAATTTCTATGGGCATAGTCCTTACATAATAAGTTACAACATAGCAACTTACAATGTTGGCATCTATTTTTGTTTTTCAAACCTAGGAATCAAATCCACAGCCCCATGCATGTTAGTCAAATACTCTATTGCTGAGGTGCATCTCCCTGGCATCTAGTTTTAAAATGTCTAACGTTCCGGGCTCAGTTTCTCTTACATGTTTTCAATAATATATCCCATCTAAAATTGCTCCTTCCAGTGACCACTGGTCTGTTGAATTAGGAGCGGCGAGGCTGCAAACCCGGCACCCGGCTGCCCGCATGGCTAGCTTATGCCCAGAAATAATTACACGGAAACTGTATTCTTTCAAACACTGCCTGGCCCATAAGTTCCAGCTTCTTATTGGCTAGCTTTTACATATTGTTCTAACCCATTTCTAATATTCTGTGTAGCCCACGAGCTGGCTTACCAGGGAGGATCTTAACCTGTGTCTGTCTGGAGTGGGAGAATCATGGCGACTCCTCACTCAGCTTCTTTCTCCCAGAATTCTCTTCTGTTTTCTCCACCCACCTAAGGGTGGGCCTATCAAGGGGCCTAGGCAGTTTCTTTATTAATAAGAAATCACTCCCACATCACTGGTCAACTAAGACATAGCTCCTCCTAGTCAGCCAAGCATCTGTCTTCCTGCTGCCTTTATAAGGGAGATTCAAATGTTCGCTTTGAATGCAGAGTGATCACCTCTGACCATAGCATGACCTCCTGGAATGAATGTCTTGAGCCCGAACGAATGGCTGGACACGGGCCAATAAAAGCTCCCGGTGGGAACCTGCTAGCAGAACAGCAGTGATGTTGTCCCCACCATTTCTCTCCTTCCTATTCAGTTTTCCTAAGTTAGATTTTGATGAGGCTTGGCATGCACTTGACTTCTCCTTGGGGTTTACCGTGCCCTGGATCTCTTGACTCTTAAGTCTGTCATTAAGTTTGTAGACTTTTCATGCACTAATTATTCAAATAGCTTTCCCCCATGTGATTTACTTTCTTCCGAGTCACTAATTTCTTCCCGTGTCGTCTCCGATGCACTACTGACAGTCCAGTGAGTGTTTTACTCTGCTTTAGTTTTCAGTTCTATAGTTCCCATTTGGTCCATTTTTATATTCTCTATTTCTCTGCCAAGTTGCTTATTTGTTTGTATAAAATATTCATAATTTTTCACTTCTGGTCAAGATAATTTTGACTGCTTTACATTTCCTACACTTTATAATTTCTACATCTGAGTCTCATGTATTGTCATCGTGATTGCTTTATCTCATAAGAGACTATTCCTGGTTTTTATAATGAGTAACTTTTTTTTCTAGACAGGGTTTTTCTGTATAGCGTTGGAACCTGTCCTAGAACTCACTCTGTAGCCCAGGTTGGCCTTGACTCAGAGATCTGCCTGTCTCTGCCTCCTGAGTGCTGGAATAAAAGGTGTGCACTGCCCCTGCCTGGCAATGAGTAACTTTTTTTTGTTGGAGATTTGGAACTCTATGTTGTGGGACTTCAGGTACTACTTAATCTTTTCAGTAGGAAGTCATTCATTTTGCAGTAGGTACATGTTTGGAGGGAATGGGAGTCTAACTCCCTGCTAGGCTCTACTTAAAGGTACTGGGTGGGGCATAGCTCTGCTGATGCTGGTGTTTGGATGTGGCGGGGCAGGAAGGGCCACAGCACCTACTGTTACCATATTGTTCCTCCTTATTACTATTAGATAATACATTTAGCTCCACACTGGTTTTGTTACCAGCACTCAGAAAAAAGCAGGGCACCAACCTGTGCTGTCTTCTACTACCTACCTCATACCTCACTGTGGCCCTTCTGGAACTCCAACTCTAGACCCCCAAACAGTAACTCCTTTCCCCTCTAGCTCCTGCATGTACCACTAGACCCACATATCTATGCACATACATACACACATACTATATGCATATGCATGCATACATACTTCAGGGTGCAGTGTTGGAGATTGAACTGAGGGCCTTGCACATGATGAACAATTACTCTATCATGACCCACACCTCCAGCTTCTATGTATTTTAAAAAAAATTTACTCTTCAAGTTATTTTTAATTTTGTTTTACAAATATTTTAGGTAACAGATCAAAATTTGACACAAACATACAACTGATCCTTGAGCACAGATAACAAGGAAGCTGTGTTAGACAACTGTCCTCATTAGTGTTTAGTGCCAACCTGACACGAACCAGAGTCAGCTGGGAAGAGAGAAGCTCAACTGAGAAACTACCCAGATTGGATTTGCCTGGGGCCTGGTCTGTGCAAGGCTGTTTTGACGAATGAGCTAATGACTGATGTGGGGGCCGAGCCCACTGTGGGAGGCACCAACCCTAGGCTGTGTAAGATTGAGCTCCTGTCCTGACTGTCCTGAATGCTGGGTTGCTACCCAAAGTGTAGGGCATATAAGGAAGTGTAAACTTTTCCTTCTCTAACTACGTCTGCTCTCAGTGTCTGTTACAACAGAGGAAGAGATGAGGACACCGCTCAGACTGCTTACCACCTGTCCCGTGGGGAGTGCATAGGTGTTGCCTCGGATCACCCTTCTGTCATACATTATGTTTCCATAATTCAAAGGTTCGTCAGCTCTGTAAAACAGAAAATTCTAAGTGAATGGTATAATATTTGAATCCATTAAGTGAAACTATTTCAATAGAATTAAGATTAAACATATCTTGTAGAATCTGGGAGAGATGGCAGATAAGAGCACTTGCTCTTCCAGACGACTTGGATTTGGTTCCCAGCACTTACGTGGCATCTGACAACCATCTGTAATTCCAGTTTCATGGGACCCTGTGTCTCTAGTATCTGACACACACACATGCATGCAGATAAAACACGTGTACATAGAAAATAAAAATATTTAAAATGTATAAAAGAAACTGTAGTACAGTCATAACATAGACAGACAGCTATCATTTATATAACAGTTACTATATGGCTGGACCTTATAAATTTTATTTATTGCTAACAATGATTTTATTTTGGGAACTAATATTCCTAATTAACAGGAGAAAAATGGAAAAGAACCTGCCCACATTCCCCTCCTAGTAAGACACAGAGCTGGGCTCAGTCTGTAAACACTGAAGACTGTTCAGCAAATGTGAAAAGTCTCGCTCAGGGACTGAAATGTGCATTTAGTAACAGACCAGGTTTTAGAAGGAAAGTCAGACCTTGCCCTGTTCTTCCAAGCTAAAGGTGATGCTGAAATGTCAGCCAATTTGAATATCAGGAGCCGGAATGAGCGTGCAGAGCACAGCCCCATGGCTGGCCCTCGAGGCTGTTAGTGCATGGCTGTCCATAGCTGTGAGGCCCACCCTCAGCCTACACCCCCACACGCTATCAGAGCTGACCGCGTGGGCTAAGCTGCTGCAGACTGAAGCCTCTCTTGAACACACGGGCATGTTTTCCTGTCCGCGTTACTTGGTCTCAGGTTGTGCCAGCTCCTGCACGGGATGGCTCTCTCTTCTAGCCCTGTGCACTGCTTCCAGAGCTGTTTCCCGGCTACTTAGCTAGACTTCCTAAGGGCTCAACTTTCTGTCCCCCAGCAAAGCTTCACTCATAACCCACATGGCAGTTTTATTTTCTTTTTAGTTCCGTACTCTCAACTCCAGGCATATCCAGTTGCCTAGAGACACCTTACTAAGATGTCTAGAAGGCAGTTCCAACATGAGCTAGTCCTCTCCCCTGCCAGCTTATTACTTCAAGTGTTTTCTATTTGACTAACCGGTTCCAATGACCACAGTTGTGACTGACTCGAGAACGCTGGGAGTCATGCATGACCACATTCTCTTCTCCATCCCTACAGCTAGCAGGGATTTCTGACTCCATGCCCCAGTCTTACACCATCTGTTGCTCAATTGACATCCCTGTCTTTTACCTGGACAGCCAAAAGTCCTCTTTTAGCTGAACAGAACAAAATTTCTTCTCAATTTATTCTATGTCCACTGAGACCAGTGGCATTTTAGAAGAGCAGCGGTTCCGAACTGGCTAATGCCTCCTACCGCTAATCACAATAAGGGAAGATACTGGGTTAACACTGTCGAAACAACGAGCTCCATGACACCGACGGTTGATATGGATGCAATGTACAGGTTTAAATATTCTTGGAGGACAGGTACATTGTATTCATTCACATTAAGTAAATGTATGCCTTAACAATCACATTCCTAAGAACCTACCTCCCGGAAGTAAAAGGCCTAGCACACACAGTTGTTTGTCAAACCTCATTCTTTGTAGCAAAAGCTGGAAGCAAACCGAGTATCTATCAATAGTGCAAAGTTTTAGCAGTGACGGTTACACCCACACTCGGCATTATCACAGCGCCATGGAAGACAACTGAGCATTCCAATTACTAAGAGGGCAGAGGAGGCTCAGACCTGTGTATGTTACTGTTGCCATGAAATAAACTGTAATGGTTCATCTTGATTGACTGGCTTGGCAGATACCTAGGAGACCAGTAAAACAAAGTTGTAGGTGTCTGTGAGGATTTCCCGGGGTGATTAGACCAGGAGCTCTCTGACCCAATAATTTAGGCTATTGGTGGGTTCATCCTTGCAGACTATGGAGAGGTGGACTTACAGACAGCTGGGTTTAATTGGATGAAGTGACGTCACTTAGGAGTGTGACACTGAAGAGGGAATCCTGGCTCGGGATCTTCCCTGTCATTTTCTCCTCTTCTTTCTGGTTGCCATGACGTGAGCATTTCTGTTCCCTCACACCCTTCCCACCATGATTCTCTGCCTCACCTCCAAAAACATGGAGCCAAATGACCATGTACCAAAAACTCTGCAAGTGGGAGCTGAAATAAGTCCTCTCCCTCCTCTGATAGTGTTCCTGATCCCTGGTCGTCAATGAGAGAAAGTTCACTAGCATGCGTGCGTGCATGCACACACACACATACACAGAGAGAAAGAGAGAGAGAGAGAGACACACACACACACACAAAGAGAAGAATTTGTTTATCCACAAATAAGAAGCAATGAATTTGAATATAAATATGTGAGCCTGGAAAGAAGTAGAGAAAAATGCATACAAAACTGATAATATGGTTTGCCCCTTGGGAAATGAAAGTAATGCCACCTACTTCCTGGAGCTGTTGCGAGGGCTACCTGGCACCACCGCTGCATTTAATAAACGGGAACAATTCTCATGCAGGGATGTCTTTAAATCTGAATTAAAAAGTTACATAAATCCGTCTGTGTTGTGGGCTATTTGTTCACACTGTGAACCCCAAGTTTGTGTTAATTAAATAAAACCTTAGGTCAAGAGGCAGCGCCAGCAACTAGTTGACAGGAAGCAGCATTGAGAGGAAGAGGGAGTCTGGGGAAACAGACAGAGAAATGTGCAGGCAATAACGAGGAGGGACTTGAGTTTGGCAGCTTTTTTGGTTTGGGGCATGGGAAGAGAAGCTCTCTTGCTGGGTCACTGGCTAAGGAGAAAGGTCAGACATGTCTCATGGGTATTAGTCAGCACACATTTCTTCTCTGAGAACTCTGGAGTCCTATAATACCCATCTGGAGACAACAGGGAGAGTGTTCTGCTGCCTTTTCCAGCCTCTAGAGGGCGTCCCAGTCCCCCAGGCGTTAAGAGCACTCATCCATAAAAAAAGTTCCACATTTCCAGATTAGGGATGCACAAACTACTAAAACTTCTGGTTTGAAAAGGAGAAAACTTGTACTCTAGTGGTTTCTTTCAGTTCTACAATTTATTGTGCTACAAAAAGGCAGGTGCCCTTGAATCACATCAGGGTTGGCTTAATCTGAAAGTTTTAAGTTACTCTGAGAGTAGAATGAGATTTTCTTATAGCTAATTATAAAACTGGGATTCAGCCCAGTCATATACCCATCAAGATAATCCGTAACCTTGACTCCCTTTTGACACACTGTTAACCAGTCTAGACATGTGTTGTCTGGAGTTACTTACTAGGGTCAACAGAGAAACTTCTGAACAAGATTAGACTAAGAACCTTGTAGAACAGAGGCAGACTGACCTAAAGACATTCATTCTTTGGACATGTTTACATATTTTAGCTAATGGCAGTCACCTCAATATATTCTTTATAAGGGTATCATGGAAGGTAACCATTCCTGTGGTACGGGTCTCCGTGTTCTGGTTTGTTAACTACTTTCATGAAACACTTTACTTTGCATTTCTGCATTACTTTGATACACTGATCTATTAGTAAACACACTATTTCAACATAAAAATCAACTAACTATAAGAAACAACTCAGCCATCCTACTGATCTATTTCTGAGTGAGCTAGGATAACAGGTTTGTGCCAGGCCTGGCCCAGAGTTAAAATTCAGCTTACACTGAGAACTTCCTGTGTGGCAGGCAAGGTCCAAGGTGAACAAAAGGTACAGAGATGCCTGCTTCCATAAATCTCTCGCTCTTAAATCCTGCTATTCCAAAACTTGAAGCTTACGGAAAGAACTCCAAGAGAACTATAAACTCCATGGTCTTTATTACATATACAGGCCTGAATTCAGCAAATATTCACTAGAGTAGCAATATGTTTTGTGGTCCTGCATGGAAGGCTAATCCACCCAGACTGGGGTGGAAAGAGCTGTATGTGGTTGGCTCTTTCATTTGGTACTTGCTATCCATGTACTTCTCTGTGCTTCACTTTCCCAGTCTGCATGATGGAGGGATGAAACCAACTTGGCAGAACTGTGGATTAATATGCCTCGTGTGGTGTTTGGTGGTGGCTGTCTATAACCATTCGTGTTCACGTCATGACTCTGGCCAGCTGTGCTTCAGTTTAACCACATAGTTGTGTTATTTTAGGGCAGGGGGTTTTGACTGCGTGTAGTCAAGGGAAAACAGATGGGATGCAAAGCGGAGACCAGACAGGAGCTACTTTGGTCACTCACGGCTGCAACAGGCTGTCCCGGTAGCGGCGGCGCTGGCAAGGCACGGCCCGGGGCCTGCTGGTGTAGGTGTAGGTGCCGGAGGCCTCGGCCGCGCGAGGATTGCGGTCTGTCATCGCCGACGCCATGTCGGGAGTCGAACCACCTCCCCTTCGGTGGAGGTGGGCTCTGTGGCAGGTGGGAGTTAAGGAGTCGTGGGAACCGGAGACGTGTAAATAGTGCCAAGGGCAGGGATGCCGCGACGCGCGGGGACGCGGCTCTCGGGGAAGCGGGCGCCACGCAGGCGGGCCCGCGCAACAGGGAGCCGCTACTCTATGCTTGCTCCGGGTAGCGTGGAGCGAGTCTGCGGCACCCGCACCGGTTGCCGAGCAACGAGAGGTTCCGCCTGGAGGCAGAAACTCCAGGCAGTTCCGGCCAGCTGGGTTTCCGGAGGGGCCCGTAGGAAAGGCCACTTCCGGCTCGTGACCCCGCCCACCTGCTGGTCCGCGGACGCGCCTGCGCATTGACTGCTTCTTGACCGGCCGGGGCTCCATGGAGGTGTTGGCGGCGGCCACTGGAGCGGCTGCGGGGCGCCGTCTGGCGGGGCTGCTGTCCGCGCCATCCTCGCAGGCCCACGTGCTCTTGCTCTTTGAGGGGCGTCCTCCGTTGATTCTTGCCCTGCCACGCCGCAGCGCTTCCTGCTCCCCGGCGGTGACACGCCCTGGGCAGTCGGGCTCGCAGCTCTGTTACGCGCTGGGGCCAGGCGGAGGCGGGCTGTCTCCGGTTTCCCAGCTCCTCCTCCGCTCCCTAGCGTGAATTCCGTACCTGCCGTCTCCACTCAGCGCTCTGGGCCAGCACGTTAGAGGACCCCTGGGCTCCCGGGGCGACTTGGACCCCTCGTTAGCCACCTAATTCTGGGAAAGGGCTGGGCAGGTTATTGATGAAACAGGGTTCTCCTTACGCTTTCATCTTTCCGGCCCCAGGCGCCCAAGAGTGGACCGTTTTAGGATTCGTTTCAGAGCTAGAGAGGTTAAGAATTTTGTTTGTGAAGTGTATGCATCCCTTGTGGTTAATTACTTGGGTTTGCAGCTACACTTTCAATGCAGCTCATCGCTGTCCAGGCTCTAATGGAGCTTCTGCAGTGGACTAGCCCAGCAGCACGCGGGCAAATTGTAAATTTTGTCCGTGCATGCTCTACTTTTCTAATCCACAAAATGGGAGTAATAGAATTTATCCCTTTGGATTTGTAAGGATTAAAAGCATGAATGAAGCTTTGGTAGTTAGAACTGTACCTGGTAAACGTAGTCTACAGTTTAAAGTAGACAATCACCATTGTGTAGTTAGTACCATTAAAGGTTGTAGTAAGTGCTATAGACACACTGCTGTAGACCTTCAATCTGACTGAGTAGGAGGAAACTTTTGAGAAAGTGGCACTGAAGCGCGCGAATATCATGCTAAGGTTTTAGCCTCTGGTAAAAGGAACCTTTAGAATGGCTCGGATGGGGCTAAAAGCAAGCTTGTTGGTCTGAGTTTGAGCCCCAGAACCCACAGGAGAGATCCAGTTCCTGACAGTTGTTGTCTGAGCTTCACACACACACACCCCATACACTCGCACACTAGTAAATTAAAAAGTGTTTGTGATCAAAGGCTCAAAGGTCTGAGATGTAGAAATCCAGAACGGTTTGTATAGATCATTTGTAGAAACAACTAAAGAAACGTTGGCATTATTTCATACAAATGTTGGACAGCTTATCAGATGCTTTTGCCCCCTTGGAGCGGGAAGCCAATTGCAAACAGAAACAGTGAAGAATCGTTTCACACAAGTTCAGAGAGAATGATAATTGGGGTTTCAGTGTACTATCTTCCAGGAGGAAGGAGGAACAGGTTGGTTGCTTACATAGGGAGGATTGCACACTGAGTGAGTAACCAATGGTGCCATCCCAGGCATAGCTGGGATTTATGGATAATATGATAGCTACCGAAAGTTCTGTTAGTTTGTGTCCTCGGTCTGGTTCTCTTTGTATGACGCCCAGTACAATCTGGTTTACTTTTTTGGTTATAGTAGCATTTATTTGTGGTAATAAAATCTTTTGTGTAGTCTCTTTCAGTTGACAGTACTAGATGTCTGCGTTCTGTGATTGCCTTGGATAGTCTGGAATGCAATGATTTGGTTGAAGGATTTTGAGTGTCCGCTGTATGCCACGCACTGGTCATTGCCAATGAGAGGTATAGAAGTGAAAAACAATGACAAAAGTTAACATTCTTGCCTTTGTGGAATCTGTATTTTAGCAGATAATCATAAAACTAAGACAAGGAAATAAAATTTGTATAAGAACTAAGCATAAAAAAGAACCACTGAAGGCTAGGTCTAGGGAGACAGGGATGTAGGCTGGTTAGAGAAGGCCTTGGAAGGATGCCGAGGCAGTGGCATTCCAGCAAAGATGAGAAGGGAGTGAGACAGGGAAACGAGACCAGCAGAGCATTCCAGATAACGGAAGCAACGAGAACAGAGTTCTGACATCAGGCGTGTTCGAAGACAAGGCTAAGGACTAAGAGTGGGTGGAGGAGGAAAGCGGAGGGGAGACCAAGTCAGTAACCAGATTGGTGTCTCACTGGCCGTCAGTGTGAAAGCCTGGGCTTTACTCCAGGCTTAAAAGTCCTGAAGAGTTTTGAGCAGAAATTTGACCATGTGATTAAAGAGAACCACAGCACTCCAGTTCCTTCACTGGGAGAAGGCTGCCATGAAGCATGGGCAGGGAGACCTAGCAGGAGATCCCCACACCTCAAGAGATTTACGACTCTGAAGGATGCGGGGAAACACTGCACAGTGTGCAGAAAAACTTGCCCAGATGCCCTGGCTGGCATGATCTTTCTCCAGAGGGGATTAAACTGATTACTTATTTTGATGCTGAGGACCACAGCATGCTAGCTGGGGAAGCAAGCGCTCTAGCAACTGAAGCACTCCCCCAGCTTAAGCATTGATTTTACTGTAGTTGACAGCGCAGGAGAGGATGCAGAGATCTGCATTTTGTTGTTCTGTTGTGTTTTCCTAGCTGCTGTTACCCTAAAGCATAGATCTTTCTGCCCTTAAGAAAGCCAAGGATGTTCAGCAGGTCCCTACTTCTGGATGAACTTGGACTAAATATATATTTCTTTTCCAGCTTCGTGAGATTGTTGAGAGGTCTATGAAGCTCTCAGGCCATCGAGTAGCTTCTGTGTTTCTGGCTTGCTAGTGCCTCTCTAGTGTAGAGTTCAGTAGATAACTCCACTAAAAGCCAAGCGAATGTCAGGCTCTCCTCACCACACTCTCTGCATCTCTCTGTGCCTGCTCCCGTCAAGTCTTGGCCGTTGTTCTCAACTGTAGTTTTTCTCTCCCCATACTGGAAAGACTCCTGAAGCCTCTAGGTCATGGCCTTGTTCTTTACTTAAATGCTCTGAGGAGGGAAAACAACAGTTGTGTACTATTTTCTGTATTCCCATTCTACCTGGGACCCTGTCCTTTTCATCTTGACCACACCAACCACTCTCTAGCACCTTTAAGCCACTTGTACAGTTTCTGTGAAGTTGGATTGATAAAATTTTCTGCATTTTTTAAAAAAAACTTTTATAATTATTCCTGAAGAATGATTATTCTGTTTGGGAGTCACAGGTAAAGGCCACTCAGGCTGTGGGCCAGAGTGACTGGAAAAATGAGTTGACATTTACAGGAAGCTCGAGAGCAGAGCAGGTTTAGGGGTGGTCGTTGGAAACTCCTCAAGACAGAGGTGCGCATGTGTCATCTGAGGGGGACTGACTAAGCGGATGGTGGCAGAGAGCGTAGAGTTCCTGTGGACTGGGCGAGAGCAGAGAGGGATTTCTGACACAATGCAGACAGCTGGTATTTAGAGTTGTAAACCTTGATAAGGTTATTAAAGGAGTGTAGAGAAAGAACAGGCCCCTGGCCTCTCCCAATACAAGTCAGGGCGCCGAGGAAAAACCTGCAAAGGAGACTGAATAGGAGTGGCCAGAGAGATCGAAGAATGCAGAAAGTCTGGTTACCTAGGAAACAAGGGAGGAAAGTGAAGGAGAGGGAAGGACCACAATTTCTAATGTCCACAGGTCAACCAAAGTAAGGACACCGGCAAGAGGGAAGGAGTTGGTCTGTGCAGTCATGGACAAGAAAGCTCAGCTAATTGAGGGTTCAGAGGGAGCTGGAGGAGTCAACCTGGGACTAGTCAGGGTTGCCATTAAGGAAGGGAAATGGTCCAGTAGACAGATGAATTGGACCAAGAGAAAGTTTCAGTTTTTAACGGTAAAATCGATGTTGTATGTGCCTATAGGGATGACTGAGGGTATGGAGGATGTGGAACAGGAGGGGAAGAACTGGCAGGATGATAGAGGTAAGAGGTGGCCCCTTTTGCACAAGCAGGATGGATAACTCCTCCATAGTCAGAGGAGAAAGGGAAGCTATCTAAGCATGGCTCTATAACCCAGCCAGCAAGCAGCATTCCTCCAAGGTTTCTGATTCAAGTTCCTGCTTGGTTTCCGGCCCCAACTCCCCCGATGATGGGCCAACCTGTAAGATGAAATAAACCCTTTCGTACCCTAAGATCTTGTGGTCATTTTTCTTTTTTGGGTTAGTTTGTCATTGCAGCAGAATGGAATTAGAACCTTTAGTAAAGGATCAGATGTGGGAATGGGGAGTAGATGGATACAGAATGCCCACCATGGTTTCGGCTAACGTGAAGTAACACCGCGATCACACGATTCAGTGAGCTACAGCCATCTGCTGGAGGGAATGGGAGCCCAGAGTTCTGGCTTGGGTCTGCTAATTCTGAAGTTCATGGGCACACGTCGTGTAGGTGGCTCGCAGGGTGCCAAAGACACGAAAGGCAGACAGGCAGCAGACTGATCTGTGGAGAGCTTTCCTAGATTTTCTAGCTCCCGTATGAAAAACATGTGAGAGATTTTTCTACATTGGTGGTCCTAAACATCTCCATGTTATTACCAACTTGAAAAGCTAAAGCAAATAAATTTCCTCTGCACTTGTCATGTTGAAAGGAGCCCCGACTTAGTACCTAGCTGCAAGAAAAAGCTGTGTTAGGAAGAAGGGACTTAAAGTGCCCTTTAGTTAGAGCACACAGAAAAGGGGCATTAGAGAAGCCTGTCGGGCAGCTGATGAAGATGTCCCCTGTGCGGGGGGATTTGTGTGCATTTGCCAGTCTCTTAAGTTCATAATTCACAATTTGAGTTTTCATCCTAGATAAGCATCTGTGTTTGTGCTTTAATTTGTATTGGCAAGCTTTTCTTTTTCCTATAGAGAAACTCCAGAATCATGTAAACATTGGGGCCTTAGCACCTCATTCTGGCCTGAAGGAGCCCGGCTTTCAGGTTGACAGTGCTCTGTATGGTGGTGGTTCTTTGAATCTGGCGGTAATACCCAGAACTGGAGACACACTGCTTCTCGGTTTCCTATAGACCTGAGAAGCAGAGATGATGTTCCGATCATTTCCTTTTGATCTAACGGTTTCAGAAATTCTCTCTAGTAAGAGCCTGAGGGAGCACAGACTCCCAGTCAGAGCAAAACCGTGACTCAGAGTGTGTAGAATAGCTCCCTTCTTGGGAAGTTTTCAGTAACAAAACATGTTGTGTTTTTGAATGAAAAGTAAAATTTACATCCAGTGGATGGAAATTTCTTATAAGAAGATATAAAACCCCCTGACACTTTCTATTCTTGAAAATGAGAGTTATTTTTGTCAAATGTCAGATCTGAGACCTGAATGTAT